TCTCTCTCTCTCTCTCTCTCTCTCTCCCTTTTCGATCGCCTTCCTTTTGAACTAACAGTCATCGCCTTTAGAGCCTCTCGCCCCCATACCGGTGACGTCAACCGCCTGCGTCCGCGCGGACGGTCGACGCCCCCGCCAAGGGGAGAAAGCTTAGATTTTGTCATCCTCCCCCTACGCACCCACTTTTGAGAGAGAAGCGTTGCGACAATTGTTGTATGGATTCGGTGTTGGTTCGGATGACCGGGAACGCGGGATCTTGCCCGTGTTCACCCCGTACCTCCGATCTTCTCATATCGCTACCGACCTTCCCCATCACAGATGACGACAGCGTCTACTGCAATGCGGACGTACGGCGCGCGCTGAGGCGGACGGAGCAAGTGTGTTGGCAAGACCCGCCTCGTGCTTGTGAGATAAGGGGGAACGGGTTTGTGTTGATTGATCGCTTTGACTCCCCGAATCTAATATTGCCTTATGCGGGTTTAATGGTGTTGCCCTGGTCGGCCGCTCACGCCGCGTGGCGACCGCAGTTTGATTGTCGCTGGTGTCGCCAGGGGCGACGGCTGGTCCAAGGTTACGAGGGAGCGACACGTTTCCCCGAGCTTTCCCGTAGTGGGGGGGCGCTGCGTGCGCAATTTTGAATTCAAATGCCGGCGAGTCCTCCTGCCGCTTTACCCTCTCGGAAACTTTCGTGCGGGCTCTATGAGTTCGACGCCGAGGCTTGAAGGCCTTGAACCAACCACCTCTACAGCAAAAGACCCAAGGGTTCGGCCCCTTCGTGAGGCCGATGACGAGGCCTGAAGGCTTCGAACCCACCACCTATCCCCGGAACCCATGACCGACGGAGTTTTTGTCGTCTGCCACCATGGCCTCCTCCCCTTGATGCCTATTCTCGTCCCGATGCACGACGGCAATTCATTTTCACACACTACCCTTCTGATTTTATTGTTTCGGAGTAATCCGACCCCCATGGGACTTCGCGACGAAAGTTCGACTCCGAGAAAAACCTCGGCCCAGAAACGAGAGCCTCCCGTTCCGTCCGGGAAACTTAACCCTTACGACCAAAAATCCTCGGCCACGCCCCTCCTAGAACTCTGATCGGCGACCCCATACAGGAAGCTGCGAGGGGGCGTGAGGTTGGTATCAGAGCTGATTCGTTTCGGCTCCGAGGTTTTCCTAGGACGATTACCCTATTTTAAAGTTTCTCCTTTTTCTTTTTTATCTTTTCATTAGACTTTTAGCATTTTTGAGTAGGCTGGCTCCCCGTCGACGGAGGCCCGTGAATAGCAATCAGAACCGAGCGAGAGGCCGGGCTCGAAACCCGCCTCCCGCGATGGTGGAGCCCGGAATCGGGGGTGAAAACGACGGCGACAACCACGCGGATGGCCAATCATCCTCTGTACTTTGTACCTCCTCCCTCTGAAGTTCCCATTTTTTCTGAAGATGACACCGATCCTCGCACCTAGCTAGCTGCCTTGAAAGCCCAGGGCTGGTCGGACCAGTTGCTCCGAGAACGAATTCCCGGAAGGTTAGCCGGAACCGCTTTTGAGTGGTACGGACAAAACCCCTTCACCAATTGGGCAGCCTTCCAGAGGAAATTTCTCGATAGATTTGATCACATCGCACCAGGTCAATGCCTCCGTTTAATCAAGGAATACACACAGTAGCCTCGGGAGACCTTGGCTAGATATGTTGAACGTTTTACATACCTAGCCGAATGCTCCGGGGTGGATGAGAAAATGGTACGGACTGATTTCGTCAGAGGACTGTCAGATTCTCGTCTGCGGAAAAAGATCCGCAGGAAATGCAACCCTATAGAACATACCTTGACGGAGCTAATTCAGTACGCAATTAAGTACGGGAAATAAAATTACGATGTGGGCCAGGACTCAGAATCCGACGAAGATGACCGTTCGGGTGTTCGACGCAATAGCTACTCCGCTATGGCACGAATGTTCGAAGATCGCTTCGGGTTGGGTCCGACAAAAAAAGGCTCGGATCGAAAAACTTCTTCCTCTGCTTTGGCCTCCCGTCGCTCTAGTCAAACGCAAGGAGGCCAGGGCGAGGAAGAAGCATCCATGAAAGAAGTCGCGGCCCAACTAGTTACGGTAGTAGCCCCGTTGACGGAGTTTGTTCAAGGTCCACAACGGCAACGCATAGCCGCCGCACAACGGCAACAGGCGGCTATGGCTGCCGGAGCCCCTATGATAAGACCGGCCGTGGCCGGGGCTGTCTCACCCCTACGCTGTTATAACTGTAATCAGCCGGGCCACCTTGCGAAAGATTGTCCGAAACCCCGAACTCAGGGCGGGCCCACCGGACCTTCCCAAATCCCGCTGGCTGCTCCCGCCGCTGCAGGACAGGGGAGGGTAGCCACGGTAATGGACACAGGAACGACGGAGATGGTGACCCAGACGGCCACTGAGATAGGACCCGATGAGTATATGGCGGCAGCGATGTTCGAACCCGGGACCATCGGAGTGATACGTCACGTCCAACGGATTACCGAGGAAAGCGACCTCGGGCTGTGGCGACCAGGATTCAAGGATCTCGCGGTACCTGGTCCTGAATACAAGGATGGTCATATCGACGTACTGGATGCCTTGAAGGCTCTGGATCTTCGGATCCCCATCCCTATTCCATATCTGCTAACCATTTCCGAAGCGGCTAACGAAAAGTTGATCGAACGGTGCCTCAAAAACAGGCGCCGATTCGAGGAAAGTCGAAAGGGCAAAAAGTCGGTCCTACGGGACCTACCCACTGACGAGGAGTTGCAGCCCTCGACCTCAGAGGTGCACGAAGCCAACCGGTTAGGGATGATCCAGACCGTAGATTCCGCCTCGGAAAAACCCGAGGTATTCCTCCGGGCCTATCCTATAACCTGGAAAAGCATAGAGTGTGACTGTGAGGTCTGGAGAAACCCCTCGGCTGCCATCCTAGACTCGGGATCATCAGCGGTTGCCATTTCTTGGAGATTGACAAAACAGTTGGGAAGGGAAGGACAGGTTCAGCCCCTCCGGCCGGATGAACTGTATATATCCGCTACGGAAGATAGTATTCATTGTAAAGGGCGAATAACGAACGTGCCTATACGGGTGGGGYGGGTGCATTGTTTGTGTGACGTGATCGTGCTGGGTGTACAGGCGTATGATGTTCTGCTAGGTATTCCGTGGAAGGCAACGGTCGGAGCGCGAATGCACTTTGACAGTTGTAAGGTGGTGCTCTCATCGGCCCACCCGAAACCTCAAACGATACCAATAAGACTGGCGGTACGCATGCGCACCCAGCCGGTGCCTTGCCTCACCATGAAAGCCCATCAAATCAACATGATCCGACGTCTGTCACCAAACGAAAATGAGCCCTCGACGGAAACTGACAAGACTGATGTACCCGACCGATATCCGATCCGAGTTCAGGATTGGTGGCGCCATTCTTGGCGGCGAGAACCACTGGAAATAGTTCGGAGCGAGTTCAATTGGTCGCACGCGTTCTCCTCCGTGGTGCAGGGGGAACCCTTGCTGAGGGTGTCTCAAATAGCTGACCTTTCGGAACCCCCTGCGTCCTTGTATCTCAGGACGGACCCCCTACCTGAAAGATTTACCGAGCTGAGGGGGCTGTGCGATTTATCTTTTCGACCCCCATGACCCCTACTCACGAATGAAAAAGCCGCGATACTCCTGAAAGAAGGGGTGTCGTTTCAACCCCGAACGAGGGAGTATCGGTGGGGACAGAGGGAACTGGTGCAGGCCTTTTCGGTCGAACCCTCGGCCGAACTCGAACTGGACAGTGACAGTGACATGGAAAGCGAGCCGATGAGTCCGGCGGACAACCAACTTATTGCGACGGTCCTTTTGACGAAAACCGACAACTCTTTGTTTGGGGCCTCGCCCGATGCCAACGCGGCGGTCCCCACGGTTACGACGACGGTCTCCTTTCCTGGGGGAACCGTAGAAGTTCAATTACCAGCCCGTGTTCCAGACGAATACAAACGCCTCCTCTTGGCGGTTATACGGGCCTATCCTGAGGCCGTCAGTATTCAGGACCACGACATAGGGCTAACCCCTTTGATACAACACGCGATTGACACCGGGGATCACACCCCGATACATTGCCGACCGTACCGATATTCCCTTAAAGAAAGGCAGCTGGTGTTGGAAAGGGTATGGGAATTTGAGCGGTTGGAGTGGGTTGAACCATCGCAGGGACCATGGTGTTTTCCCGTGGTCCTCGTGCCAAAACGAAATGGCTCCGTTCGGGTATGTATCCACTACCGGAAATTGAACGCCATCACTACCAAAGATGTGTATCCCTTGCCGCGAATCGATGATTTGTTAGATGCTATCGAGGCCACTCAAGTCTTTTCCAAGTTCGATATCCGACACGGTTTTCACCACGTCGCAGTCCGACTGGAGGACCGACCCAAAACCGCCTTTGTCCTGTTTGAGGGCACGTGGCAATGGGTCCGGTGTCCCATGGGAATTTGTAACCCCCTGGCAACATTTCAGCGGGCCATGAATATGGCCTTCACTGAGTTCGTTAACAAAACCCGACTGACCCAACCCCTGATCAATTTCTGCATGATTGTGTACATGGATGATATTTTGGTCTTTTCAAAAACACACGAGTATCACGTGGAACACATTGAGTGGGTTTTGCATGCACTAAAAGATGCAGGGTTCAAAGTGGCCTTGGAGAAAAGCGAGTTCTTCTTGTCGGAGATCTCATTCTTGGGGTATATCGTCACGGTCGACGGACTAAAACCGGATCCGAGGAAGGTGGCAGCAGTTCAAGACGCCCTGGCGGCGGTCACACTCACCCAAGTTCGGGCTTTTCTAGGGCTGGCATCCTATTACCGACGCTTCATCAAGGGGTTCGCCGGCATAGTGAAGCCCCTCACGAACCTGCTAAAGAAAGAGGAACAACTGATCTGGACGCCGGAATGCGAAGCGGCGTTCCGGGCGTTGAAGGAGGCTCTGACATCTGCTTCTGTGTTGGCGCGCCCCGACCCGACAAGACCGTTCGCACTGTACACAGACTGGCAGCCTCAGGCGATATCGGCGGTGCTGACTCAGCACGGCAAGGACGGAAGGGAGCACGTCATTGAGTATGCGTCGAAGACGCTGAGCCAGGCGCAGGCTAATTACGAAGCATGCAAAGGTGAATGCCTGGCGGTGGTGTGGGGGATTCAGCATTTCCGACCGTATCTGTACGGCCAGAAATTCGTGCTGGTTACGGATCATCAGCCGCTGCTGTCCCTACGCAACAACACGGACTACATGGGGACGCTGGGCAGGTGGGCGGTGCGTCTGCAAGACTATGACTTCGACATCCGCCACCGTGCCACGTGGCAGCATGGTAACGCCGATGGATTAACGCGCCTTCTGCCGCCCAACAAGTGTCCCGCCAACGAGCGACTCATTCCGTGGAGGCAAGAAGTCGCGGTGACGAAACCACACTACGGGGAGCTACATGTGCTAAGTAAGGACGACGCCTGAGCCCGGAATGGAGGTTTCATCGGAGATGGCCGATGCTATCTCTCTGCCCTCATCCCACTCCCTCGCTCTCTCGTCTAGCCCCAACTCGTCCTCTGAAACACACCTAAGTCCCTGTTTCTTCTGTACCTTGCCTATGATCCCTAACCAAGAAGGGTCACATCCGGGAGGGCCCAATTTTCTTTTATGGGTACAGTGTAGTCAGTGTCATACGGTCAAATCTCACGGACAGTGCGTTAAGTACCGAAGTGAAAAGACGTGGGTCTGTCCCAACTGTAGAACGGAGTCAACGGACCAAGTCCCTACCGAGAAGCGGTACCTAAACGCTAGAACAGCCGACGAATTTGCGCCAAGTGCCCACCGGGCAGAAGCCTGGAAGGACCTTCTGTTGCTACGGAGACTGTCAGGCGACTCGTTGTCAGAACTTACCAAAGCCGAACAGCGGAGAGTCACGGAGCGGGCGCAGGACTATCGCTGGCAGGGCCTGACGTTACAAAAACGGAAGGTCGATGATGTCGGAGAGTCTAGCTGGTTGACGGTTCCACACCCTCTTGCTAGGTTCGATTGGACACGAGCCGCTCATGAGGAGGATGCGGTCCATTTCGCGGTCAAGTACACGGAAAAAGCCGTCGAAAAGAATGGATGGTACTGGTCGGGAATTCGGGAAGATGTGAAATACATCGTTCAGAATTGCCCGGCCTGCGCGGCGGACAAGGCGCCGGTACAGATGCCTCGGACGATGGTGCCCACTCGTGTAGGGCGCCCCTTTCAGAGAATTAGCATCGATACGACGGATATCAACGTTCCGAGAGGGCCCATCGATCCGGGAGAACTCAATGTTCTTTTAGTGGTCGTCGATCATTATGGATCGAGGCGTACCCCATGACCAGCCGAAATTCGCAGGAAGTAGCTTGGTACGTAAATCGATTTTTGTGCATGCATCTAGACATAGAAGAGGTACACATGGACAATGGGTTGGAGTTTCGAGGCGAAGTAGAACGTCACCTAGTCAGGGCGGACGTTAAGATTATCTACTCGCCGGGGCATTGGCCTCAAGCCAACGGCCTGGTAGAGAATGCCAACCGACTGATTAAGACGGCCCTTAGACGGAATATCACTACGGGAGACACCCGACCTTGGCCGGTCATTGTCGAACTCATTTTGGCCGTTTATCGCGCCACCCCACACGGTAGTACTGGGGTGTCCCCCTTTCAACTGAGAACCAATAGTGTCCCTCGGGTGCGATTGTCCACCTTAGTAGGTAAGGGAGTTAGAGCAACACGGGCCCAGAATCGAGAGAAGGCCCGCCACTACATGGACTTAATGGCTAGGGCCTATCCCCTGTTAGCTCGCCGACGATAGCAGGCCGTAGATCAGACACATCAACGACAAATCCGTGACTATGAGAATCGACACGCCTCAGCGGGACCACTGCCCCGCTATAAAGTTGGGGACTTGGTGCAGGTACGGAAGTCTGCGCGCTCCTCCAAGATCCACCTGCGCTACACAGGCATTTACGAGGTCACGGAAGTTGGCGCACGGGCCTAGAAGCTGATTCCCCGTCACAACTCCCAGGCCCGACCGCTGACACAGCATGCGGCCGCGCCTTGGCCACATTGGTGCTGAGAGTTTCAGGGAGCAGGATGAACCATCGCCAGCCGGAGCATGAGCCCCTCGAGCATTTCCAGACGCCGCTTGCAGACCGCCTGTTGCGGCATCGGTTCAATGAGGAGAGGCAGTTGCTTTGCGATCGGCTGACAGTGCCAATGGTTGCGGCAGCAGGTGAACGTGCCGGCGCCCGGGGTTGCGGATTTGGCGGCGTACTCGTTGCTTTGCGATCGGCTGACATATGCAGGGGTGTACGTGGACGTGACGCAGTTGCCTGGCCGGGAGACGACCCGAGTATTCATCGAGTTCCGTGCGCTCCAGGTGGCACCCAACTTTGTGCACAGCGTCGCCACCTTCATCGGAGACTTGACGGTCCTACCGCAGCAGAATCGGGAGCCGGCGCGCAGTTTTGTGCGTGAATACGCGGTGGAAGCGGCCAGATCAGTGGCCAGAGTGCAAGGACGGGGGGGACACCGATTCACAGCCCACGAAGTGCTGCTGCGTAGGGTAGAGGACGGACCGATTGCGTTGGTGCCGCAGCTCCCCGCGCTTTTCCCTCCTGCTGCTCCTCTCAACCTCCAAGCTATTCCCCCTGTCCCGTACTAAATGCCTCCTTTCTTCTCCTACACCACCCTCCCCTACCACCTCACGGAGGGCCCTTACCCCATGCGCGAGTCTCGGAGTATTTGGTGGAACTAACTGACGTGGAGCTGCTGCCCTTCGCCGACGAAGACGCGTGGGAGTTGCACCGTGCGCTGTACAAGTCGGTGGCACTGGGATGTTCCGGTTCTTCGTGGATCACTAAGACCACGCTATTGGGGAGCACTTCGTCGTTTACTACGTCATCGCGCGGCCTAAGCCAGCGGAGAAGGAAGGGACGGTGGCGCTGTACCCCTTCGCCCCGCTCCAGACAATCGATCCGGGATTGCTGGAGTTCATACATCTTGAGCTCCTCTCCATTGCGCAAGTGATCGCGAGCGAGGAGGAGGAGATCCAACCACGATTGCGGACGGCGACGGCCCCGTGGAGAATGTACAACGCGGTCGTCATCCCCGATTACATTGCGCAGCGCGCGGAGAGATTGGAGGACTTCCCGGAGGAAAGGCCGTTGCGTCCTCCCTCGTCGTATCCTCGACCAGCGCCACCAAAGGCCCACAAGAAGACGCCGAAGAGGAAGAGACGCCACCCGTCGCCAGGAGCGCAAGGCAGCAGGATCGGCGACGGCGAGGAGGTGATTCAGCCCGCGCGTACGCGGATTCCTGACCCTGTGCCTGGGAGTGCGGCGACGCTCGTTAAGGAGACTATCGTGCCATTGCCGCCCATTCCGCGTGTGCCCGATCTCAATCTTGATGGAGCCGGGCCATCATCAGCAGCATGTCGAAGGAGGAAGCCAAATAGGATTTCCAGATCCCATATCCAGACCCCCCGTCCTCACGGGACCTCTCCGTTCCCGCCAGCCACCCCGGCGTGCCCCGGTCATTGACATTAGTAGTTCATCCAAGCCGGACGGTCCATCCGACTGAGGTGGACTTCATGGTGGAGCCCGCCACCATCAGGCTCGAGGCCATCGTTGGGGCGCCGCGCCCTGATCCGGCGTGGGAGCCATAGCTGACACCCCCTTTCCAAGGGTGTATTGCGGCGTTATTGGCTGGGACGCTCATCTACGAGACCGGGCAGCGTCCAAACACGATGTACCACTTCCTGGTCTTCACGGCGCGGAAGCGGGAGCGGCGGCCTTACACCGAGACTCATGTGGTGATGACGGGTCCAGGGCCCAAAAATAGTTCAGCGGGTGGTGCGAGCGGTAGCGGATCTGGCGCCACGTGTCCTCGCACATGTGCCGGGGTCTTTCCTTTACCCCTCATTCGTCCAGCATCACTTCCATGAGGGAGATGCGCCGATGACTCCTGCGGCAATGGCCGCTTTTCTTCCACCTATTCCGCCCCCTCTCAATCCCGACATAGATCACTTCCTCTGATAACCCTCGTCTACCTCTCCCCTGTCCTCTCCTTCTCCTTCTC